CCCCAGCCACTCTGGGCAGCTTTCAACATATATAAAATAATAATAAAGCATTAAACATTTTTTTTAAAAATCTTCCCTTTACAGGATTGCCTTTAGATGGCCCGGGGGTTGGATAACTCCATACCCTCCAACATTTCCTCAATTGAAAATAGGGACATCCTAAGGAAAAGTAAGGGATGCAGGTGACGCTATGGGTCCTGACCGACTCTGGGGTTGTGGCGCTCATCTTGCTTTACTGGCCGAGGGAGCTGGCCTACAGCTTCCGGGTAATGTGGCCAGCATGACTAAGCCGCTTCTGGCGAACCAGAGCAATGACGGAAACGCCATTACCTTCCCGCCGGAGCAGTACCTATTTATCTACTTGCACTGGTGTGCTTTCGAACTGCTAGGTTGGCAGGAGCAGGGACTGAGCAACGGGAGCTCACCCCGTCGCGGGGATTCGAACCGCCGACCTTCTGATCGGCAAGTCCTAGGCTCTGTGGTTTAACCCACAGCACCACCCGCGTCCCTTTCAGCCTACTTAGCCTACACATAAATCCGGCGCTGAGTAGCGTGACTGCCCTGAAACCTTTGCAGGCACGGTTTTTGAAAGCGGATACACGTGTGACACACACACACATACACACACACCCATAGCATCAAAAGCCCAAATCATGAATACACAATACATGAAGGGGCCCTGAGAGCTCTGCACGTTCATTGTTGCAGAGACACACATTTAAATTTTAGCCTTTGTACTGTAGGCTAGTTTTCTGCAAGAGTCCATAGACACATTCCTGCCATGCAGAAACACGGTGCAAAGGATCACTGAGGGGTGTGTCTTGAGGATAAGGGGTGGGGCCTGAGAGAAGGGGTGGGGCCTAGGGAGAGTTCCAAGGGCCACATAGAGTGGTCAAGAGGGCCACATTCAGCCCTTGGACATAACCCCGCCCTGATATAGTCCATAATGGCTTCTAATCACGCATAGATTGACCCCCCCCTCCATGAACTTGAACCTAAAGCCATTTCTACAAGCTCCCTCCCTCCCTTTCACGCACACAGACGGATTCAAAAGAATTGACATCTTGCTAGCAACATATAGAAGGCTGATCGCCGAAGAATTGATGCTTTTGAATTCTGGTGCTGGAGGAGACTCTTGAGAGTCCCATGGACTGCAAGAAGATCAAACCTATCCATTCTGAAGGAAATCAGCCCTGAGTGCTCACTGGAAGGACAGATCCTGAAGCTGAGGCTCCAAGACTTTGGCCGCCTCATGAGAAGAGAAGACTCCCTGGAAAAGACCCTGATGTTGGGAAAGATGGAGGGCACAAGGAGAAGGGGATGACAGAGACGAGATGGTTGGACAGTGTTCTCGAAGCTACCAGCATGAGTTTGACCAAACTGCGGGAGGCAGTGGAAGACAGGAGTGCCTGGCATGCTCTGGTCCAGGGGGCACGAAGAGTCGGACACGACTAAACAACTAAACAACAACAACAAGCAACATATAAAGGTCATGATCCAGCCCAAGGAAGAGCAGAAGGTTCAAGTCTGCGGGAAAGGGTTAGGCGTATGCCGTACGATGACTGAAATCAACAAGACTTTTTGAAAAGTTATTAATTTTGGCAAGACGCTTCCTCCTGGCTGAATTAGTTACACCAAATAAGGCTGTCCTAGTTTTCTGAGCAGACGTGTTTTTAGTATGTACATTCATCACCAACACACCTGTCATTCAGGTCTGAGGCAGAAACTGGAGAGATTTGCTGGGAGATGGTAGCATTGGACCTTTAAAGCGGGGGGCACCCCCCCTTTTTCCTGCACTCTGCAACACTACGGCGTGTTATCAGAAGCACCTGCCTTTCTGCTTGACTTGCAGATTCGCCCCACCGAGTTAGCATTGCCATAAATAACTAAATCAGCCGATGTTTTAGGAAACACAGCACCCTCGAAGGCCGGACCCCTTTGCTTCAAGACAGACAGGAAGGTAGACAGACAGAAGCCAGCAGACGGACTCTTTGGCCAGAATAGATAACGTCACCCTTGGAGCCAGCAGCACTTAAACCAATCGTAGCTGAGGAGCTGAGTCAGTTTTAATCCAGGAACCAATCAGCCAGTTAGAAAGACGCACATTTGTGCATAGATAAGAGCATTAAACCTGAAGGGAAGGAGCAACAACAAAACCCAACCCGCACACTTTCTTAGGGACCGTAGTTCAAAAGCAGAGCTTGAGGTCTCCAGTTTTAAAAGAACTTGGGCAGCGGAAGACATTAGAAAATACTTCTGCCTGGTTTTTTTTTGGGAGAGCTGGGGCCCCTCAGAGTAGACCATGCGAGGCCTTGACAACAACAACAACAACAACAATTATTATTATTATTATTATTATTATTATTATTATTATTATTATTGCCCTGCCTATCTGGCTAGGTTTTCCCAGCCACTCTGGGCGGCTTCCAACAAAGATTAAAAGTACATTAAAATGTCACACATTAAAAGCTTCTCTAAACAGGGCTGCCTTCAGATGTCTTCTAAATGTCAGGTAGTTGTTTGACATCTGACGGGAGGGTGTTCCACAGGGCGGGTGCCACTACCGAGAAGGCCCTCTGCCTGGTTCCCTGTAGCTTTGCTCCTTGCAGTGAGGGAACCGCCAGAAGGCGGTTCTGGACCTCGGCGCTGGACCTCTGTGTGCCGGGTAGAACGATGGGGGTGGAAACGCTCCTTCAGGCTTATACTGGGCAGAGGCCGTTTAGGGCTTTAAAGGTCAGCACCAACACTTTGAATTGTGCTCCCCTCTAAGTTCCAGTCCTGCCTGGGAGGTTGCATTTCATGGTCCTCAAGGTACGCCGGCTGCCTACGTGTGGTCAGGGGTTGGGTTCTGGCTCGTGTTCCGAGGATGCCGGCTGCGATGGGGCCGTTTGGTTTGGCGCAACCGGCTCGCTCAGTCGTGGCTCTGGTTCCGGTTCCTTTCGGCCTCGCAGGTCCTCTCTGTATTTACTGATTCTGCCTCTCCTGCTGGCCCCTCCTGCCCTATGGGCCTCACTGCCCCTCTGTTTCCCTTGGGACTCCTCTGCCCTTTCCTCCTCCTGGTTTTCTCCCGGGAATCGTCACCGTATCTGGTCGCAGTGGCGGCACCAGCATTGCCCCCCATCCGTTAGCACCTCGTACGACCATGGGGCCAGTGACCCTGGTGACTGTGGCGGGTCACCCATGCTGGGCCTGCCCCAAAATTCTTTGCGTACACTGGGTCTTGGGCCACTCAATACATAACACTATGTCACAGCAAACAGTGTTTTAATGCAGCAATGTAGTCGGCACATTACAAAATCAAAAAGTGGGTGAGTTTCAGGGAGCAGGCGTCAGCAGACTGCTGGAGAAAATGTGGCTTTAGAGCAGGAATGGGGAACCAGTCACCCTCCATACATTATGGTGCTACAACTCCCATTATCCCTGGCCACTGGCCATGGTCGCTGGGGCGGATGGGAATTGTAGTTCATCAACCCCTGGAGGCTCAGATGTTCCCCATACCTGGTTTAGAGACTCCTCTTTTCATCTGGGGTCGTCATGTCCTCTGGCAGATGTGTTTTGGACTGATGTTATTAGCGAGATAAGTCTCGTTATCTGCTCCTCCGTGATTAAAGACTTGTTATCCATATTAAATGGCTTGTTATCCGTAAGTTCTGGTGTAATGTGGAAGCACCTTCTAGGGATTAGGGTTATCTATGGATTTGATTATCACGTAGCAATGGGGAAATGGTTCGGGGAGGAATACCCAGAATTTGTGCACCCAATTTTGGGGGACTTGCCAACCAAGGATTAACTAAGATACAACCTAAAGTCACTAAGAAGCTCAAAGGCAACAGACTCACTCTCAACAACTTGGAGTGACTTTATTAATTTCCTTAATTGGGAAGAGAGTGAGGACTCAGCCATACAGTGGTACCTCGGGTTAAGTACTTAATTCATTCCGGAGGTCCGTTCTTAACCTGAAACTGTTCTTAACCTGAGGTACCACTTTAGCTAATGGGGCCTCCCGCTGCCACTGTGCCACCGCCGCACGATTTCTGTTCTTATCCTGAAGCAAAGTTCTTAACCCGAGGTAATATTTCTGGGTTAGCAGAGTCTGTAACCTGAAGCGTATGTAACCTGAAGCGTCTGTAACCCGAGGTACCACTGTTTCTCCCGCGCTTTTTAGGCATGGGTCTGAGTGGTTTTTATTTTACTCCTGCGACTTTCCCCAGGAAAACCTGCTCTTTACAGCTAAATCAGAACAAACATCAGTCCTCAGAAAACCCGACTCAATGTTTGTTATGATTCAGTGGTCAACAGCAGTCTTCTCCCAGGAAGCTTGGGACAAAAAGAATTGTTTACGACCCATGAGTCCCGAGCCCCAGCCAGCTATACACAATTAGGTAAAGGTAAAGGTACCCGTGCCAGTACGGGCCAGTCTTGACAGACTCTGGGGTTGTGCGCCCATCTCACTTAAGAGGCCAGGGGCCAGCGCTGTCCGGAGACACTTCCGGGTCACGTGGCCAGCGTGACATCGCTGCTCTGGCGAGCCAGAGCAGCACACGGAAACACCGTTTACCTTCCCGCTAGTAAGCGGTACCTATTTATCTACTTGCACTTTGACATGCTTTCAAACTGCTAGGTTGGCAGGAGCAGGGACCGAGCAACGGGAGCTCACCCCGTCACGGGGATTCGAACCGCTGAGCTCCTGATCAGCAAGCCCTGGGCTCTGTGGTTTAGACCACAGCACCACCTGCGTCCCATAAGGACAGGTTGTAGGTGCAAGTAAAACGGAATCCACTGCATCCAGGAACAAAGGGATGGTACTTAAACTCCTTATAAGCTCCTCTAGAAAGGGCTGTCAGAAGGCAAATCATTTTTCTAGGAGGAGGCCTGTCTTCCCACTGCATTTCATCCTAAATTTTCTCATCTGTAAGGCCTTTGAATGGTGGGAGAGACCCCTGTGGCTCTTTCTAGCAACTGGTGCCTCTGTTAAATACTTTTCTTCTTTGCAGTGAGGAGAAGAAGAAATTTGAATTTTCTGGTCTGCGGCTGGACTGGTTCAGGCTGCAGGTAAGATTCTTTGCCAGGATTTGCTCCTCTTCCTCTTCGGCCCCAGCCACATGCCGGTGGAGACGGTGGTCCTGTGCAGTGGGAGCCCTTGCTGGCCTCTCAGGACTTTGCATGCTGCCTGCTTGGTCGAGGGGCTGGGGCATCTGGAGGGGATCACAGTCAAACCACACAGGGGAGTGCTGGCTGGTCTTGTTTTATCCCCACTTGAAATCTATTTTTTCCTAGAAGTTGGGAGGAGGAGAAGCAGGGGAAATTAGCTGCTTAAGGAGAGAGGTATGAAGAGGTAAACAACAGACAAAAATAAGCTGCCCAAGTCTCCTCCTTCCCCGTGTATTTAAACCTTTTCCTGCTTTCTCTGTTGTTGGTGCTGGGAGGCTGCAGATACCCCATGGAGCCAGGCTGCTTTCATGTGGGAGGGCTCTGAATGAGGTATAACTGTGAATCTCTCTGACATGACAAACCCTGTGTTTGCAGTTCACACACTGAGTAAGTAGGGGCTAAAGAGTCTTTTGCCTGTGCTGCTAGCCTGGAAATACATCATTTTATTGAGCTTTGCTCAGGCTGCCCAGCCTCCCTGCCTGACAACTGATGTGGCAGGGTAGCGCAGCCGCCACCGCTTTCCTGCATGTCCACCAGCCTCCTGCCGGCCCCAGAGCTTCAGTTCTAGTTGTGAATATTTTTGGATGCAGTATTTTTGGTATGTATTGGAGAAAGAGCGGCAGAGAGGGTGTGTGCTCCCCACTTCACATGATTCCACTTATGTATGCAGAAGCCTCCATGGAAGTGGGGAGTCCCCTGCATAGCACTTGTGAGCTTGGTTGGGGAACTGATCACAAATTCCTGGGATGAGCATGGGCTCAGAGGCATCCTGCTCTTTAACACTTAACATGTGTTTGCCTGGCTAAGTTGCTGTTTTGGACCTGCCTCTTGTTGGTGGATCTCAAGGCTCTAGTGAATAAAAAAAAGTAGATTCCACATTCCTGAGGTCTGAACCTGCATATTCCATAATGACTGAGTCCAGCATTAGCGTGTGTGTGTGTGTAAATGAGCCATCACAGATTAATTACTGCATGTACAATTTACTGTTTTTTGATTAGCACTCAAAATGTAATACTGCTCATTTGAGACAGTCACATGTTCAGTTTGAGAAGAGTCAAGTGTGCGATCAAATGATGTACATGTGTATGTGAATTGGCCCTGTCACTCTGTAATTTAGAGCAATCTTGCTGTTGGGGCTTGTCAACCTGGGAAGGTGGCCCATCCAGGAGAAGAAAAACTCTGATCCTAAACCTCTGCTGCCCAGCGTCTATGCTCATTCATGAGAAAGGCTTCGGAGTAAACCCCAAGGAAAAATCCTGCAAGAAGATTCCCCAAGGAAAAATCTGTACCCACTGCCTTGTGGGACATCTTTGGGAGAAGCAAAGACCAAGGAGTAAACTCTACACAAATCTTGAGTCCCTAAGATGTTTGGATGGCCTTTTGGATGCCTCCTTCCAGCAACTCCTACAGTCCAGCTGGTACCAAATGTGTTACTCTGCTTTCCTTTGGACTGTATCAGTGAGGCCAAGAGGTCTTGTTGTCTGGGCAGTCCAGGACCTCTACACATGCTGCCCAGGCTTGCACCCTGGAAAGGTCACTTCAGTGTGGCTAACGCAGCAAAAGTAATGTGGAAGGCAGCAATTACAGGTTGCTGGTCTCTACAGCCACAGCAGGTGCTGTGATTCTCCAGCAGTTTGGCTTCGCTCTTGGAAAAACACCCCATTGTCTCGAGACAGGGGGATGCCAACAACAGCAATGTACTACTCTCAGTGTTTAGGGTGAAGTGTCAGAGAGCATGGGTTCTTTCTCCCAAGGAATATCTTTTTTCCCCTTCCACTAGGCATACACCAGCGTTAGTAAGGCTCCCTTGCAACTGCGGGAGAATCATGACATTGCCAAGGTGATGAATCTCATCGTCTTTCACACTAAGATGCTGGACTCGGTGGAGGACTTGATGGTCGAGACATCGGACCTCTCTATATTCTGGTGTGTATATGGCATGGAGGGAGGGAATAGTGACAGCAGAGCAGATTTGGGGCACACAGGGTGGAGCATGTCGGCTACCAGAACACATGCATCCTGGCATAAAATATTTCAGTCAATGCATTTAATTTGCATAGAAAATAAAGGCCCCACCATAGGCAGGTTCTCTGGGTATAAAGAATGAAGAAAAGAGGGTGCCAATTCACACAACCATCCTGGCTGCAGTGTGGTTCTGTTTGTTGCCAGCTCAGATTGTGCTAAGGAGGTGATGAGCAAGTGTGTGAAATGGGTGTGTGAGTTGAGGAGAGTTGAGAAAAATAAGGAGGAGGGACTAAGAAAAAGGAGATAAAGATGAAAATGGTGGTGCAAAGGGGTTTGCAAAAAAGGAGGGAGTAGGAGGCATGGGAATGGTATTGGGGATGAAACAGGGATACGAAAGGGTCTGCAGAACTGGAGAGAATGGTGGCTTCATCACTGGGCAGAAGGGGGAAAGGGTGCTTCATTGTTGTAGCACAAAGTTGTAGGTGTGTGTGGAAGAGGGGTTGCACAAAAGGAGTGGGAGGAGGAGGCATGGACAACGGGATGAAGGTGAAAACTGGTGCATATAGAAGCACCTATGTTTCTATGGGGAACAACCATAGCTCAGTGGTAGACCATCCACCTTGCTTGTAGAAGGTCTCAGGTTCAGTCTCTGGCATCTCCAGGTATGGCTGGGAATGACCTATTAAATTCTGTTGAGCTGCTCTAGTCAAGGCTTCTCCACACTTCCTCTCTCCTGCTGCTTTTCTGTGGGAAAACCCACTCTATAGCACTCAGTTGGAGCAAAGGGCAATTTGAGTGATCTCTGGATTAACATTAAAGGGTGGATTTTCCCTGGGAAAAGAGCAGGGCCTGGGGGAAACCACTCAGACCACATCCTAAGCATGGGCTGAGCAGAAACTGCCCAGACCCTTGCTTTCTAGGCATGGGAGAAGTGGAAGTGGAAGTGGAAGTAGCCCTCAGTGTAGACCGTCGTGGAGTAGGAGAGCTGAAAAGAATGCCAAGATATTTCACATCTGGCAACCAATGTGCCCCTTTGGTTTCAGATAGTACTTGGGTAGACGAGTCTAAAAAGCCCAGGACACAAATTTTCACAGCCCTCTAGCGACTATGGTAGTTTATTTACCAGAAGTAATGTGTTTAGGGGGAAAGCCTCCTAGAAGGCTTAGTTTGGTTAGAAATGAGTACAGTGGTACCTTGGGTTAAGTACTTAATTCGTTCCGGAAGTCTGTTCTTAACCTGAAACTGTTCTTAACCTGAAGCACCACTTTAGCTAATGGGGCCTCCTGCTGCTGCCGCGCCGCCGGAGCACAATTTCTGTTCTCATCCTGGAGCAAAATTCTTAACCCAAGGTACTATTTCTGGGTTAGCGGAGTCTGTAACCTGAAGTGTATGTAACCTGAAGCGTATGCAACCCGAGGTACCACTGTATACACTTCCAGAGTTAAATACCTGTAAATGAGCCACATATCCGCTAGAGAGCTGTGAAAATTTGTGTCTTGGGCTTTTTACACTCGTCTACCCATGTGCTATCTGAAACCAAAGGGGTGCATTGGTTATCAGACATGAAATTTTTTTCCAGCTCTCCTACCCCCCTACCATGGTTTCTCAACTTTTAAAAACCCATGTCCCCTTTTAGCTAACTTTGACATTCCATACACACACTTTGAACCTGGCTTCCTTAATTATTTTATTTGAGTTTTCCGATGGATTGAAATTTTGTGACTTTTAATTATTTGCAGTACTTACTTTGTACATAATTTTTGGAAACACTCCTTCCCCACCCCCAAAATATTTATATGCAATGCTGAGCTCGATGGACTTACAGTCTTACTGTGCCCTTGATTGCTCCCATTTGCCCTGGTTCATGACATCTCACTTCCTTTAACAGTTTCTATGTGCGCCTCTTGGAGAAAGTCTTTGCATCCACCATGGAGGAGCCATCAATGTTGCGCTATTCCATTGCTTTCCCGCTTCTGTGTGCCGACTTCAGCCATGCCTCCCATCCATTGTGCCCCGAGGAGGTGCGTATGCATGGGATGGGGAGGGCAAGGAGAAGCAGCTGGAGCTAAAAGAGCAAAGACACCAAGTGTCAAATCATTGAGATGCCCTTACTGGGCTTATATGAGTTCGGCTTTCATGCCCCTGCCTTGTAGCCAGAGCTGGGTCTACTTTGAGATAAAAATGTCAAATCCTGCACCAAGATAACCAGAAAAGCAGAACTTTGTCCACTGTATTCATTTATGTAAATGAAGCTTATTATTTGAATAATTTATTCTGTGTGGGTTTGAAAATACAGGGGCAGATTCAGGTGACCTGGTGTACTAGTACAAGGACTCCCATGAAAGCAATGGGACTCTCACATTTCCTCCAGAGGGCCAGGAGAACCCCCAAATAGCATGGGGAGGGGAGGGGAGGGGAAATTGTTCCATCTGGCAAGCAGAAATGCTTTTGCAGACGGAACGATCATAATAGTGTGGCGCTGAATTACACCCTTACTTTTGTTTAATTTAAGCTGCAACTTTCTAGGACGTAAGCCTTACTGAACACGGCAGACCTTTCTTTGGATTAAAAAATGCATAGGATTAAGCTGGTAGGCCTGCAGATTTATGCTCACTTTACTCAAGAATAAATCCCACTGTCGGTGGACAGAGAGCTTTGCACTACTGGAGGCTACAGTGACAGCAGGCCTTTGGAGCACCATTCTTTTAACCCTGTCTTGTGACAATGAACAAGAAAAGTGCCCACTCACAGCCTCTGAGAGGGGCAGTCAGCAGAGACTTGCAGCAAGCATGGCACCTAAGGCTGCCTTGTAGATCTCAGGCGCTTCTTTCTTTTCCTGGTTCAGTATCCTCATCTGCAGAGCTGTGCCTTGGGTCTGTGCAACAATTTCCTGGAAGAGATGGCTAAACAGGCTTGCACTTGTATCCTGGATGCCTCTGCTGAACAGCGCAACCTGAGTGAGCAGGTAGGAAGCCAACTCCTTTATGGACGCTGGGGAATGGGCATCGGAGGCAGATCTGGGACTGGCATGAAGAGAGTGGGAAAATTGGCAGAATCCTAGGGGAGTTCTGTGCAGCATAGGATAGCGCAATCACTATTCTGTGATTGGAGCATATGGGGCAGGGGACAGGGGAAGATCGGGCAGAATGTATGACTAATTCAGCTTGCCAGACATTTCCTGGGCATGTTGAACGCAGAAATGATGGTTGGCCAAAATGGAATGAAAGAGGGAAACCCAGGTAGATAAAATCTGATTTCGAAACTTGAAGATATCTTGCACTTTGAATGACAAGTTTGAACCCTCCTGTTTTATTATTAGGTTACATTTATTTCCCACCCAATGCAGCTCACAGTAAAATCCAATGTCTCATAAAGAGGCAAAACTACAATAAAAATCATACGAGAGCAGATAAAAAACAAAAAAACTGCACGGATTGTTGGCTTGATGAATCTGGTTTGTTCTTCCTCTCTGCATGAGGCCTGTGTTGTGTACTTATAGAATCATAGAATCATAGAGTTGGAAGAGACCACAAGGGCCATCGAGTCCAACTTGTTCTTGGCTGATCTGCAGAATGAGCATTGATGTGCAAAGGATCTTACTGGCATAACAGGTTGATAATCCAATCTCTTCTAGAACACATTCAAATAAGCATCAAAAGCAGAGTTAAAATCTTACAATCCTGGTTGCAGTCTCTTGGGCAGGACAAAGGAATGATAAGATTTGATCCAATAAGAAATGTTGAGCTCAGAGTGGCTCACAATAATCATCATAACATTGCAATCACTGTATTATCAAACACAGTTGCATATGAACGAAGCAAACAACAACAGCAACAAATTCATTAAAACAATTAATACAATTCAATACTGTCAGGGTACAGTGGTACCTCTGGTTACGTACTTAATTCGTTCCAGAGGTCCGTTCTTAACCTGAAACTGTTCTTAACCTGAAGACCACTTTAGCTAATGGGGCCTCCAGCTGCTGCCGCGCCGCTGGAGCATGATTTCTGTTCTCATCCTGAAGCAAAGTTCTTAACCTGAGGTACTATTTCTGGGTTAGCGGAGTCTGTAACCTGAAGCATATGCAACCTGAAATGTATATAACCCGAGGTACCACTGTAAATCAAAATATCGGAAAGAGCTGCTGAGCACAAGCCCTGTGACAGATGACATCTTCTCTCTGGGAAAGTGCTTCCATCTTCTGTCAGTGCAGCAGGCAGCACTCTCCCAGGCAGTGAGATCCTCCACACTTTTAGTGGAATGGAACCCAGGGTGAAGTTATGCCAATGAGGCTGTGCAGCTGTGATGAAAGAGGTTCACTCAGTTCTCAGTGGCTCCTGTTAAGTCTTGGATAGTTTGGGAAGGAGCAAAAACTGCACACTTCCCTGGCACTGAGAGAACACTCCCACATGCAAGAGGAGTTCGCTGTGACTGTAGGCACAATGCAAAAAAGGGGGCAGCCGGAGTGAGGAGTCCGCAAAGGATTTATCAGAATAACTGCCTTGTACAGATTCCTGGTGACCAGGGACTGGCTGTTGAAGCAAGGATTGCCCAGGGAATAATTTTTCTCCACCCCCACCTCACCCCTGCTACCCTTGTGCTCTGAACCACAGACCCCAAGGAGGGCTTGTGCGAGTGATTGGGTGCAGGGTTACAAAAAATGGATGCCTAGAATGCCAGAATAGCCAGTTCTAGCACTTTATTAAGGAAAGATTCAAACTTATAACCTCACTGGCTTTACAGACACGGGAGGGGCACCACAACAGAGGTCCTCATGACATGTCTGCGCCCAAGCAAACAGGCCTTATGCGCAAAGCAGCATACGTCAGTTTCCCCAGAACCTCCCATCACACCTGGCTGGTGAGGCCATAGATGACAGTTATCCAAAGCTTCTCCCCTCTCTCGGCTTAGAGCCCAGCATCCCAAGCAAGGCCAAAGATAAGCACAGCATCAAAGCATGCCAATTAGCATATATCAAAGCAAGGAAATGTAAATATAGACAAGCTCATTATTTCAACAACTACCAATTATTTTGGGGTCATCTTGACTACCAAGATGGTGCTTGCAGGCCTTCCAGAACATTTCACCTTTGGTTCAACACACCTTGTGATTTGCAGCAGACCCACCCACACATAACCCCCTCGCCTCTTTTATGTCTTCCAGCTCTTACCCAAGCACTGTGCTGCCACCATCAGCAAGGCTCGGAACAAGAGGACCCAAAAAGCATCGTCCAAGAAGGGAGAGCCAGAGAGGGACAAGCCTGGTGCAGAGAGCCACCGGAAAGACCGCAGCCTGGTCACCAAGTAAGGCCACAATGAACCCATGCAGCACGTCATGGGCAACGTTAATGCTTAAACTTCTTCATACCAGCACAATTGAAGCCTTACGGCAGTCTTTCTCAAACTTGGGTCTCCAACTGTTGTTGGACTACAACTTCCATCATCCCTAACCACTGGTCCTGCTAGCTAGGGATGATGGGAGTTGTAGTCCAACAACAGCTAGAGACCCAAGTTTGAGAAACACTGCCATACGGTTAAAACAGGACTGAGGGTGCACTTAAAATGATACCACCCCACCAGTCAAGCGTGCAAAGACCTGTCTGGTGGTTAGCATGGAAAATGCCATTAATCCTAGGTGTTTTGCAAGGTGTTTCTATGCTCTGGCTCCAAGTAGGGGGCAGTCAAAACAAATGTTGTGTGGAAGGTGCATGCTCTCACATCTCCTTACGTTCTGGAGTTTTAACTTAAAAAGCAGTCATGGCAGTTCCATTTTTTTCTTGAAGCAATGGCTGCAAGAGAGGGGATGTTTAAACTTCCCACCATTTTCCCCTGGCTGAAATTGCTCGCTGACCCGAAGCTATTCATAATTTCAGAAATAAAAGACAGGCATAATATGGTATATGTATTTCCTGCCCAGCAGGGCTAATAGCAGCTTTGGAGCGGGGAAGCAGCCAGAGGTGGGCAGTGTTTCCCCTGCACATGGCAGAAAGCTTGCCTATAGCTATCCTGCCCCCCACCCAAAAAATGTGGAATATTCTCCCACAAAACACTGCACGGTGGTGCCATTGCAGGGTCTCTCGAACTAGAGACTTGCCAGTCAGAGGTGGAATGAATGAGCTCCAATTTTCCCAGCAGTGAGGTACAAGTCTGACACTGGGAACATCCATAGTTCCTAATATGTATTTGTGGGGTGGGGTGCTTCCCTGAAGGGAGAACTAGAATGGCGGCAGCAAGATGTGATTCTGGTGTCCTTAGGGAACCAGAGGATGGAATGAATGGGAGGACCAAAACCAGTTACACTCTGTGTTTTTGGGGTGGAGTGCAGGCTTGGGAGAGTGGGTGATCGATAAACTAATGGCATTTTATGCTTTAAATGACTTGCTACATGTTGAATATTCAATATAATTGGGCCTGTTTGACCAGAGAAAGGGCATTTTGGTTATAATAGGTTGCATTTTCATATACATATTGTGGTGTGTGTAAACAGACATGATCAGAAGAGCAGGGGATGGAAAGACAGCGTATCCTACTGCCCCTCCTTCTGTCCTTGGCTCTTACATCTGACCTGCGAAGTGCTTCTGGAGTTGGACTGATGAGGTTCTCGCCTGGCCAGTACTTCTCTGCCTCCTGCAAACCAGGCAGTCGGTATCAATTGCTCTAACCCACCATCATCTTCTCCCCACCCCCACTTCCAGTCTGGACAAGCTGCACCTGACGCTGACTGAGATCTGCTGGAGCCTGAACAACGTGACCAGTTTTGCTGTCTTTGAGCACACCGTGACGCCAGCAGAGTACCTCAGCAGCCAGCTGGAGACACGCCTTAGCAGGTACAGGACGTGAGGGGCGCAGCAGGAAGTGATGTGGCACTATTCATTATGGGTCTGTTCTCGAGAGAAGCCATAGAAGTACACAGCTATGGTGCATGTGCTACAGCTTTTGCTCAGTAGTGCCGATTATGTGGGATAGGCAGGAAGGTGGCAGTGGGGTGGATTTGTTAGATATGAACACTTGAGTCTTGCTTAATTCCACTGAAGTGTAATTAAGTTGGCTGCCCCCAAAGTGCTGCTGCTGTCCTCTGTCCCATGCACTTGCTTCTGTTGGCTTGGTGCTTCAGTCCTGGTGACTTCACCCCCCGGACATGGGCTGGTAAGATTTCACAATTTGAGCTAGCTGACCTCGTTTTTAGCAAAACTTAACTTAATCGGCAAAGCTGTTGAGGTTAGGTTTTGCGGCAGGTTCTTACAGCAGGCTTTGACTGCCATGCCAGAGGCGAGAATTTTTGCCATTTACCATCTAAGCCAAAGGGTGTTTCCTCTGGGAACTGTCTTCTGCTCTTTTAAAATGCCCATTCAGTTACCAACACCTACTAGGTTGCTCTCTTCCCCTTAGTAATGACATTGTTATTTTGATAGTGAGGGCTTTTTTAAAGAAGCATGTATCTGTTATGAAACTGTTTGATTTGTCTTTGTGGAAACATTATGGGTAACAATGTATTGTAGGTGTTTTCATATTTTAATTTTTGTTTCGTCATTCTTTGTGGCAAAGTGCTTATGGCCAACTGTATGGAGAAAGAGCAGTCAGCAAATCAAGTGATTGCTGCAAAGATTAAAGTCCCAGAACAGAACTGGCAGGATCACAGCGAAGCACTTGATATTCTCATCACCCTGACAGGAGCTGGGCTGGGCTCAGTGCTGGCTAATTAGTTGAGCAATGGGGAGCAGATGCTCAAACTTTGCTAATTTTCAAAGGACCACTATTTCCCCCAAAGCAACAGCATTCAGTCCTTGCAGTTCTCCCCATGGCTGCTTCTTGGCAGCCAGCTGGAAAACTCAGGCTTGTGTCTCCTTCTCTGGCTTCATTTATGTTTTTCTCGTACTGCCATCTACCTCACCCCCCCCCCCCCGCCGCTGCCAGTAGAGCACAGATTTCAGTCCCAAACATCCAAGTAGATAGACCAGTCTTCCTTGCCTGGAACATCACCTGATCCTCAGTGCTCATTAAGAAAACAAGCTATTCAACATAGCACTACATATTGGGAAACTTTAGCTTGAGAGGTAGGCAGAGTGATGAACATCAAGCTGTGGTATTTGGGTGCTTTTTTCTTTTGGCCAATGTACATCCAATAAACATTCACATCCCCTCCCCCAGGTCTTTGGTGCGGCTGGCAAAGCCAAACCCAAGCTCCCCAGAACTGGCACGTCCCTCAGAAGCGTTGGCAGGTGTGCAGGCCTATACCACTTTCCTGGTTTCACTGATGCATCGCATAGGTCTGGATACTGGGCGCCTCCTCCGCAACGTGCTTCTGCAGCAGACCCAGCCCCTGGATGCAAGTGGGGAACAGACCCTCACCACACTCTATACCAACTGGTATGTGGCTGGGAAAATGGAGGGGCTGGTTGGGGCATTGCACTGTCATAGTAGGCAGGACATAATTTTTTTCAAGACCCCCCAGGACGAGCCCCTGAATCTGCTTTAAATGCCAATATTTCAGATATTAATGAAGAGAGTTCTCTTCTAAGTATATGCAGAGAGCTTTCCCTAAGCACTGAGCAGCCTCACTCATGCATATGGAAACAAAGGACCAGCAGATATGGCTCAGCTCTGTCATCTCTGTCTCTCTCCTTTAAAAAAAGGTCAGTAGCAGTAGTAAGAGAGGCAGGTAGGTGTCAGGTAGTTGTTACTCTGGCCCAAAGTCCTGTTTAAGGAGGTTTTCCCATAGGCATGGCTCCTCTCCCCCACCTGCTAATCAGCTGACTCCTCCAGCAGCATTTTGTTGAGCTAAATTATATCATGTTTCCTTTGCTGTCACTCCCAGGTACCTGGAGTCACTATTGCGCCAGGCCAGCATGGGCTCCATTGTCCTTTCCCCATCAATGCAGACCTTTGTCAGTATACCCAAAGAAGGGGAACAGACCTTCAGTGCTGAAGAGTTTTCTGATGTTTCAGGTAGGTGCTCACACACCCAGTCTGGAGCACCCAAGGCTTAGTTGCAGTAGTGGTTCTTGAGCTGAATTTGGCAACAAGACTGACCACAGTGATGCCACGATGAGTGGTTATTCGGCCAGGAATGGAGAGGGGTGGGGTCATGATCTCACTCTTCAAATACCCAAGTGCCTGTCACATAGCAAAGACTTGTTCTTTCCCGCCCTAGCCATCAGGACTAATGTTATTTTAGGAAAAACCTGAATGGTAAGAGCTATTTGACAGTGGAACCATTGGTGATAGGCTCCCCCATGCTCCTTTGGATGATGCTCTTGCATTGTGCATTCCTGCATTGTGACAGTGGTTGGACTGAACTGCCTATGAGTGCCCCTCCAATTGTATGGTTCTGTGACTTTGCTACTCAGTAGAAGTCACAAAATCCATTAGCAAGCCCATTTTTTTATCTTGGGCAAACAGTCATGTGGATTATAGTGGATGTTTAAAACTGAAGAAGCAATCCATAGTAAGGTGTGGAGAAGCAAGTAAAGGAGGATAGAAGCTGGAGCTCGGGAAGTTGGAGGAAGCAGAGAGTAATCCTTATCTGGCTTCCAAAATATTCATGGTTAGGATTTGACCTGTCCTGAAAGGAGTGTTCAGCCAAACAGAAGACAGGGCTTAGAGGAGCCAATGAGAACTTGAGATGTCCTGCACAATGCAGAGAAAGGTGGGCAAGGCCTCTCAGTTTGTCTAGCTGGCGTAGGCCTCTGTTGCTGCCTGCATCATCAAGAGAAGAACCAGCACTTGGCAGACATCCACAGAGAACAGCAATAAAGAATTGGTCACACTGTGGCTACTGCTAGTCTGCAAAGTATGCTTTTCCTCCCTCTGCAGAGATGCGAGCCCTGGCAGAACTCCTTGGGCCCTACGGAATGAAGTTCCTAAGTGATAACCTCATGTGGCACATCACCTCGCAAATGGTGGAGCTGAAGGTATGAAGCCAGGAGGAGAAGGGAGCTTGCTGCAATTTGCTGTCCTGCAACTCAGCTCTGACACTGATTAAAACAGAGCATCGGAGTGTTATAAATGTCCTTTTGTTTTGTGGGAAGGAATGGGCAGGTTGGAGCTGGACTGCTTTTGTCAAAAGGAGCTTCCGTATGTCTGTGCCTCTGTTGATTCACATGCATCAGTGGAACCAACTGATTTGCTGTTTGCTGTGCTACCACTGGGTTCTCCTGTGCGACTGATCCACAGGGTTTGAGGGAGTTGGTCACCCACTGATGAGAGTACAATCCTGGTTTGCAGGGTGGTGCATCAGGCACCACTCAGTTGAACACTCAAGGCTATCCTTTGTTGTCAACCAATTGCTCAAGGCCTCAGAAGGAAGAAAGAGAGTTGTCTATCAACCATGTGCCTTCTCATCCTAGTTTCTGACTCTGAAACAAGCTCTGGAGATCCTTCTTCCTTAGCATGTCATTCTCATGTGTAGCCACACCCATTTCCTGTTTCCTGTGAGTGGGGCCTTTACAGCCAAGCAGACCATAGTCCCTTCTCTTGGCTGGGGAGTGTTTGGGGCCAGAAGGGTGGCAGCATCAAGTTCCTTCCCTCTGGGTTGACAGCCAGGGAAGACACAGGTGTCCATCACCTCTCTGACTGGGCTGCTGTTCCTTCATGGTTGGCCCCTTGGACTCAGCCCCCTATCTCCTTCCCCTTCCACCCTCTCTCAGCTTCTTGCCACCTCTCACCACCACCTTAGTGTGGGGTGGTGGGGTATTTCTTAAACTCATGCACAACATCAGGATCGTGGTTGGTGCTGAGCTGCCCTGTCAGGACATCATCTATATGGCCAGTTTTCAAAGTCTGTGTGATAGAACTTTATTTTCTTCTTTTTAGAAACTAGTGACAGAGAATATGGATGTACTGGGTTCAGATCCGATCTAACTTCTACCAGCCAGAGCAGATGGCCGCACTGCTACCCCGCCTAACTGGTAGGTGACAGGCAAAGGTTACGCACGGCCTCAGTTCTTCTGTTCTCTGCTCCAGAAGCCACCAGGCAGCCACCTGAATGGCTAAATTTGGAGTGAAGCAACAGCTGAAATAGTCCTTTGCTGCTTGTGAGTAGCGATTTTTAAAAAGCCATTGCAAATAGGCAAAGGAATTCTCATGAATGTAGGTTTGTATAACTCAGTAAAGTTCAGAAAACACTCCAGAAGATGTAGCGCTATAAGAATGCCTGCTCAAAGATCCAAATAATGAAACCACAGTACCCCTCCCTACTGGGGTTTCTGTCCTAAAGTGGGTTGGACTGTACTGTTTTCCATAGAATTAACCAAGCAAGTTATGCACATCCAGGAATTCTGTGGCTGCTAGAAAATTGGGACCAATAACCATGTGCTCTCCACAGCCGCCGAAAATGTTCTGAAGAGGATGACCATAATTGGGGAGATTCTGTGGTTCAGGTCCCTGGCGCAAGAGGGCCTTCAAGAGGTGAGTGATCGCAAATCTGTGTATGTATTCCCAGCCACACCCAGAGCAAAAGCATTCATTCCTGCTCCTTGATTTCCTTTTGATCATGCTGGATGATAAAATATAATGGCTTTATGCAGCAGGACTTATGGGAAGGGCAGGCAATACAGCATTATAGCAAGCAAGAAGAATCAGCACTTCTCTGTTGCATCACTTCTTGCATTCTGACTCTTGGCAGGTGTTCACCAATCACTGCCCTTTTCTGATGGGCCCCATCGAGTGCCTGAAGGAATTTGTCGATCCTGACATGGACATAAAGGTGAATTTAACTCTATTTGGTATTAAAAATGCCTGAGAAGAGTCTGTTATATAACTTAGCTTCTGCCAGGTGAGTCAGTTCCCCTGCGTGCTTCCAGAATGCTACTGTGACAGTAGCCTTGATTCTTTGAATCCCACATTCCAGGCTTAGCATGTCTAAACTGTTTCTCTTCAGCCTCTACCCTGCCCCAAACGGTGTTCAGATGGTGGGTTCACATGTGGCATTATCTTGGGTGGAGGTAGGGAACCATTATCACCCCTAGGGCTGCATTCCTTTTTGGTGAGCCTTCGGGGGCCCACATGGCAGTGGAACAATAAATGTATTTTTTTACCACTTTTGGGGAGGCTTGTGTCTATGCACACTCGCCCATTCCTCTCTATCCTCCACCCAGGCAAGCAAGAAGCATGATCAGAGTTCGAGGACACATTCTAGCCAGGCATAAACACCCAAGGAAGATGCAGAAGAGGGCTGATAAGGGGTGTGGCCTCAGGACTGTCCCAAGAGCCAGATAAAGAGGCTTTGGGAGCCACAGTTGGGGTCTGAAGCTCCCCCTTCCCAATCTAAGAAGAGGCAGCGAAAATTAATGTGTGGATTGAAAGACTAAATGAAGTAAAGTCATTGCTGAGTACAATGGGAAAAGCTGCTTGCTGCCAAAACAGACTTGATAAGGAGACAGACATAGCATTCTATTTTCCTGCCTGACACATGTCCTAAAGCACACAACTAAGGTACAGCTGGACCGCTCTGCATGATCTCCAGCTGCATCCCTCTTTCCTTACAAACTTAAATGTGCTCTAGTTACAAAATGATGGAAGTTCCTAAATTATGCTGAGTCCCCAGACTTTCTTCCTTGGTCTGTGACACCTCCCTCCTCCTCCTCCTCAATAAAAAGGGGTAGAGTGTGAATTGTAATTTGTTTAAAAAGTGGCACAGTGTTACAGGCCTCCTAATCAAAATGTGATAATGTTGGGATGAAGTGAATGGCACTGGGAAGCGCTATGTTGTGGAGCTTGACAATTAAGCTTGGGTGACCTAATATGATTCCATCGGAGGCCCTGCACAGGAGTCTGGTGGATCCATTGCCTTAGGTAATTTCAGCCCAGTTCTGAAGGCTCAAGGTTTAGGATTCATGCTGTGCCATCATTCCGGTTCCACATACTCTGCATGGCTGAACAGTTTACATTGAAAGCCCTTGCTTCAGATAGTAGGGAGGGGTTGGGGAGCAGAGGACATAAGCTCATCTCTCTGCATTAGTCAAACTGTTTGAGTCCTCCTCTGCCTCCATTTGAGGCAAGGGTGTATCTCTGTTCCATTTCATTTATCTATATGCCACTGTGGGGACTGGTTGTCCTCCCCTTCTAGAAGCTCTGACCTCCCATGGTGCGGAGTATCCTTTGACATGTCCAGCGGGTGGCGCTGTGGGTAAAACCTCAGCGACTAGGACTTGCCGATCGTATGGTCGGCGGTTCGAATCCCCGCGGCGGGGTGAGCTCCCGTTGTTCGGTCCCAGCTCCTGCCCACCTAGCAGTTCGAAAGCACTCTTAAGTGCAAGTAGATAAATAGGTACCGCTTTATAGCGGGAAGGTAAACGGCGTTTCCGTGTGCTGCGCTGGTGCTGTCTCGCCAGAGCAGCTTCGTCACGCTGGCCACGTGACCCGGAAGTGTCTCCGGACAGCGCTGGCCCCCGGCCTCTTAAGCGAGATGGGCGCGCAACCCCAGAGTCGGACACGACTGGCCCGTACGGGCAGGGGTACCTTTACCTTTACCTAGCAGTTGCAAGGTGCAAGTGGAACAAAGGAACATAGGTGAGTGTCATATGCCAATGCTTGTCAATCCTAGTCCAGGATTGTCTTCTCTGACTCTTGAAGGCCACAGGCAGAGGTCTCTCTCTCTGCCTGATACCTGCTATAATTTGATGACAGTGGTGTTGTCTATGAGCCAGTTTACAACAATAGGAGCTGTGTAAGGCAGCCTTCACAAACCGGGTGCCTTCAGGATGCTTTGGACTGCAGCTCTCATTGTTGAACTTGCCCTGTTTCTCCAAGGGGTGAGAAGGTCAAGGAGCACAACATTTACCAAGGTTGGATTTCCTTTGCTCAGTGCAAACTGTGCTTGAGTAAACCAATTGAAATTAATGGGCATGACTAACAGGTGGGTCTCCTCAGAGTATAAGTTGGTTGGATACAACTCCAGGAAAACAAGGACTGAGTAAAAGGCCTAGGTTTAGGGCAATCCAGGTTGCAAAACTGCAGTTCCTTTCATGGGTGAAAATTTCATGGGTAGCTTTATCTGGGCTGCTTCATGAAATTCTAGAGGTAATTGGAACCTCTGGAAATTGCAAGGAGCATTGAAGTATGTATTAAAGCTGGAGTGGGGAGCCTCACCTGTGCTCCTCTAGATCAGTGTTTCCCAACCTTGTGCCTCCAGCTGTTTTTGGACTACAATTCCCATCATCCCTTGCCACTGGTCTTGCTAGTCAGGGATGATGGGAGTTGTAGTTCAAAAACAGCTGGAGGCACAAGGTTGGGAAACACTGCTCTAGATGTTGTTGGACAGCATTTCCCATCAACCCTGGCCGTTGGTCATGTGGGCTCAGAAGGATGAGATTTGGACTATAGCATGCATGCTGCTGCATGCTCCTGTTAAAGGCCATGCAGCTCATGTTTTATGGAGGCGCTGGATGCAGAAAAGCAACGGTATGGTTGAAAACTACTTCTTAATCATTTGCTTATGAATTTTCTACCCAGATTTCTCTTGCCACCTTGTGTCTCGGTGTACAGGTGACCACGCCAGGAGTTCTGGCAGTTTGAATTCCCCTACTGCATTGAATATGACGTTTGCTCTGGGTCCTGCCACTAGGGGCGTCTGTTCACCAGAGTATTCGGCTCCTGTGCCATCCCTTTCCCTAAGGTCCATGAATAATCATAGTTTAGAGGTCCCGGGCCCTAAGGAAGTCAGATTATCCTCCACCAGGGCCAGGGCCTTCTCAGTGATGGCTCTGACCTGGTGGAATGCTCTAACCCATGAGACTAGGGCCCTGCAGGATTTAATCTCCTTCCTGTAAGAGAGCTATTCCGCCTGGCTTTCAATTTGAATTTAGCCTGATCTTTTATTCCCCTCCCTTCCCTCCCCTTTTTATGAAGATTACCCGCTCTGGAATCCCACAGCTAATTCTCCCCTGGCGTCCTCGCTGGCCCAAATAGGACTAATTTAGCCAGCTAGCCCTGGTGATCACCTGATTTTTATTGGATGGATTTCCCCCTAACTTTGAATTTATTGTTATTCACGCTTTTATACTGTATTTTATGCTGTTTTTTGTTGTATCACAATTAAGTGTTTTAAATTTGTTGTTAGCCACCCTGAGCCTGGTTTTATGAAATGGGAATGGTGGGGTATAAATAAATTATTATTATTATTATTATTATTATTATTATTATTATTATTATTAAGCTACCTGAACAAGAGCAACAGTGAGGCCAGGATGTGTGTGGAGAATGCCCATGAGGAGGATGATGAATTCCTAGGCAGGGCGGTTAGGGCTCTCTACATACCCAACTCCCCCCCCCCTTTGCAATGCAGCCTGAAAGTTAATTACAACTATTAATAGTGGTGAGGCCCTGTGGATGAATAGAGAAGACTGATTTGCATCCCCAGCCACTTGCAGGGAAATGGTATTTTGGATTGTATCAGAGAGATGGTGAGCATCTCTCCTGAGCAGAATGACAGCGGGGGCACCAATCAGTCTCTGTCTGGAGCCTTCCAGAACAAGAGAGAGACAGGCTTGTGGGAAACCAGAATGATGATCAGGTTGTTTCCTTAGGAGTTGGTTCCAGCAGACATGGAAGGCCCTTTATGCAAGACCAGGGCCAACTATTACAGGCTGTGGGGGTGGTTTGGTGGGAAGCCTCCACTGATTCCAAGCTGACTGGTGTGAGAAGGACATGGCCAAGTGACTGGAAAGAATGGGGAAGTGGAGAACCTGTGTGCTGCTGTGCAGTAGTTGAATTGTGAGAGTGGGGCAATGGAGTCTTAGCCCCCATTGGGAGGGCATGATTTGGCTAAAACTGGAGGGAGGGAGGCAAAGGGACTTCATTAATACACACACACACACCAAGTTCAAGCACTGGTGATGTGAAAAGCTCCAGGAAAAGGACGAACACAAAGTGATTAATTTTCTGTGGTTCTTAATCGCTCCTGCACATGCACAAGCCGCAGCTTGGTCATCACGATTATGTATCTACAGATGCGAGCTCTCTCTCTTTGCAAGATCTGCAGTGTGCTGTGTTTAGATTAAAAAACATGGCTTCTAATGCCAGGACTCAATCCGGGGCTGTGCAAAGGAATTTTAAATAAGATATTACCTCTTTCCTTACCCCTAAGTAACTGACCTGTAGGAACCATGCATGTGCTCACACGCGTATGTATGCATGCAAGGGCTTCCATGCCAAAAGGGTGTTACTTTAGGTGGGCTTGATCTTGAGGGCTACCTTCTCAGAGATTAGGCATCCCAGTGTTGTATCCAGCCTAGGGGACTTTTGGGGTATCCTGCTTTTGTCGCCCCCTGCCCAGTTTTTAACTTCCATTATTCTTACTGTCCAGTACATAGCTCCTTCCTCCTTTACAAATTCTTCTCACAAGAGCCTGCACAAAGTTCCATTACCCAAATACAGCACCACATGCATGAGGGTGTCTGATTTCTATTACATGTTTTGTGTTTGTGCTGGAATCGAAAGAGGTTTTTTTGGAACTTGCAGTTCTGCACACCTGCTGACTTCGGGCAGCCTGCAACTGCCTAAATTTAGAATGTACTACTTGGCAACGGCTATGCTGCTTTAACTTAGAGGTGTGTGTGTTTTGCTGTTACTGACAAGGACCAGTTCCGTAGTGGTGTTGCCACATCAGCATCATCTGAGGCTTCCAGGAGGCTGTATCCTTGCTGCTGTTGCAGCCTCAGGTGTCCCCAAGGCGGGCTTCGCTGGCTGAGTGCAGGAATCCAGCTG